TCTTTCCATACAATAAATTCTACTTTTATGTGTAAACTTGTTTAAAATTGACAGATTGATAGCAACTTTGGTCTTTCAATGGGACCATTCTAGCAACTCTATTTGTGATAAACTTAAATAGATCAGGTGTATATGATTATTAATATTGCAATTTGATGAGGCATACCGGCTAAGGATACAGTTTCAATTACCAATCGAAATTGCTCGTCGTCTTTCAATGGGGCCATTCTAGCAAGTCTATTTGTGATAAACTTAAATACATCAGGTGTACATGATTATTAATATTGCAATTTCATAAGGCATACCGGCTAGGGATGTAAATGAACTGAACGTTCAACGAACTGTTCGTGAACCGTTCGGCGGGAAGTTCGTTTATTTAATAAACGAACGAACATGAACACAAATTATCGTTCGTTTAGTAAACTAACGAACATGAACAATGATCTCATTCGTTCAATTATGTTCGTGAACGTTCGTTTATGTTCGTTCATATAAGTTCATTTTATGTTCACATATGCTTAATTGTGTTTGATTACATTAGTGTATTATATATTCATTTATGTTCATATATCTTCAATTATGTTTTTTTATCTTTGTTTATTTATGTTCGTTTAGCATGTTCACGAACATAAACGAACGTACATGAACAATGTAATTTGTTAAACGAACGAACATGAACAAGAAAATTCATTCGTTTATGCGTTCGTATTCGTTTATTTGTTCGGCTAACTTAAACGAACGAACATGAACAAGCCCCATTCGTGTTCGTTCGGTTCGTTTACAGCCCTACCGGCTAAGGATACAATTCCAATTACCAATCGAAATTGCTCGTCACACGTAGAATAAAAAAAGAAAATTTCATTCTATACATGCAAGATCATGAATTAATAAGTGCACTCGTTAGCCAAACAAAAGAATAAAGATGATCACCTTGGGTAAGTCAGCCATTGACTCAACTGCCTTGGACCGTGGCGAAGTCACTACTCACCTCTTTGATATACCGATCATATAGAAAACAAACTAACATTATAATAGGAGTAAAAAACACCTGATGTAATCAGTTCCCAAAAAATACCAAAAAAGGAATTCGACTTCTTTCAACTATTTCACATAAATAGTTCAAATGGTAAAAACAATTAAAACAAAGACGATCCGACATATTTTTCTTTTGTTTCTACTTTTTTCAGAAATCCTTTAGACTATTATTTTGCACGTTCATCACTTTTTGTCTCATATCAAAATATAAAGATTCAATCAAATGCTTTAATTCTTACCATAATGGTCTAAAGGGTTAAAGATTACAAATCGTCCATCAAAATATAAGCCACCCGCAACATCAAAGAAATATGATTTAAGGCTCACCTTGAAACCAATGATCATTACAGCAATAAACAAGCATGGATAGTCCTGTTTTAAAATTCGAGATGAGATGTTACATTTGTGATTAAATTTCGAGTTTTATCTATATATTGTCTATTTGCTCAATATAAATATTTTGGAAGTCATATTCACTTGAGGTAATAAATTGATGTGGCATAGTAACTAAGTCGTTGTGGATATGATGTGGCTGTCTATTCTCCTTAACATGTAAGCTTAGCTAGCTTATACAACAAGATCAATTCATCAATAATTAAAGCCAAAGTTATCAAATATAACTTCTTATAATAACCCGAATACCATATTTATGCCAACACATATCATATTATAATTGTTTGAAAGGGTATTCCAGTTTTTTACGGGCTAGCTCCCACGAAGAAGGTTCACCATTTGGTATAGGGAGCCACTGCCCTAACTAAGCCACTATGTGATAGTTAAATATTGGTAATATGTTTTAAAGGATTTATTATATTTTACTATTGGATTAACCATAAGAATATTTCAATGAATTAAAATGGAAGAAAGAAACTCAATTCTTTTCGTGTGATATAGAAAGAAAATTCCATTTGGAGAAAGAGATGCATGTATAGGATGCATCATGTTAACTTTGAATATGAGAAAAGAATGTTAGGGAAAGCATTTTAAAAAACATTACTTGAAAGCAAAGCAATCTTAAAAAAAAAAAAAAAAGTAAGCTGATTTCTTTAGTCGTGCACATGTTAATTCCTATTCAGCCCTCATTTTATATTTTCTTTAACACTAAGGGTTTATCTGCCATTTTCCATTGAATATGGATATCACAAAAGAGAGAGAAGATACGAAAGAGATTAATCATTTTAGTCATAAAAGCCATCCGTTAAAGTTGGTCAACATGGAGACGATTCTAGGTGCTAATTTCGATAGCCATGGTGGTGGTGGTGAAGAGAAAGAGAAACCAGATGTAATTGGTTGCTATGCATGTCAAAACCCTATATCAAGTGGCTTTGCATATGGCTGCACTCAATGTCGTCATTTTATGCATAAAAAATGCTCACAAGTTGCGCCCATTCTCAATCTTCCTTCCATATATGAGCATCCTCTAATAGTATTCGATTTCGGATATAAAAAATCCGCATCCTGGTCGTGTTATGTTTGTCGTAATCAACGTAAAATTAAGGGGTTTGGTTATTGCTATAGCAAACCTGAGTACAACAATGTATTTAATGCTTGCATCGATTGTTGTCTTGTTGAGATTGCTCGCAAGGCAGAAGCTGACGCTATCAAGGAGGCGGGAAGGATCAAGATTGAACATGAAGGCCACCCACAACACACTTTAAGCCTCAAATTAAGACCTGCTGCATTCCGTTGTGATGCTTGCAATACTTATAAGGATGAAGGCTTATTTTATGAGTGTGATAGTTGTGATTTCTGGATCCACAAGACTTGTGCTTCCTTAGCACCTACAATCCAACTACCCCATCACCCCAATCACGAACTTGTTCTCGTCTATTCGCTTCCAGAAAAATTCTTTAATTTTGCATATTATTGTGAATTTTGCAGCATATACATCCGGCGGAATGACTGGTTGTATCATTGTGCCAACTGTAGATATTTTGCCCATATCAAGTGTGCCTTAATTGCAGAACAACCTTTTATTCAAAGGTAAAACTTGTTTTCTTTTTCTTTGTGTTTGTGAATGCTTAATTGTTCTAAACAAGCATATGTTATTTCAGAGATGGTCCGAGTACTTCTACTGTTGATGATGATGAAAATGGTTTGCTGCATTTTCCCATGTCAGATGAATTTACAGATCCATTAAAACTACAACATTATGAAAAAATAAATCAAGATGATGATGATCAAAAAACTGTGATTGAGCATCAGCATTGGAGTCATGAACATCCATTAATCCTTCATGTTCAACCTCAACCTAACAACATGTCTGATTGTAGTGATCCAATAAAGGTATGTCACGGGTGTGTACGACCCCTCTCCCTTCCATATTATAGTTGCAGAGATGGATGTTCGTTCACTCTCCACAAATATTGCGCCAAGTTACCACTCAAATTACAACATCCACTTCACCCCGATCATTCGCTTGACTTGATAAACACAGATCATTCGCTTTCCTTGATAAACACAGATATTTTGCCTGGCTTGATAAACACAGATCATTTGCTTGCCTTGATAAACACATTTTTATACAATGAATGCACCGGTTGTTATAGCAATGGCAACACGTTTTTATACAGATGTGAAACTTGCAAGTTCAACCTCGATGTCAACTGTGCATTTCTACCTAGAACCATCAAACATAAATCCCACAAACATCCTCTTATCCAAGTTATCGATCCTCAACCTCTTTGTAATGCTTGCAACAAATTGACTAATGGTATAAGCTATGCATGTAAGGCTTGTAGCTTCATATTAGGCATGCATTGTGCAATGAGGGCGCCACATTCCCTTGGTCATAGGTATTGCAAGGGACATGAAATTTCATTGACATATCCCCCGGTCATGGATCATCCTGAAGATTTCTTTTGTGATATTTGTGAGAAGGAAATGCACCCCAAGTTCCCCCTCTATTATTGTCACAAATGCAAAAATTCTTTTCACCTTCATTGCATTAGTCGAATCGATTATTATTCAAACATTTTCAAAGAAGGCACCTTGAATGTTTCCTATCACAAACATCCATTAACATATGTTCGAAGAAAGAAAACACCCAAGTATGTGTGTTCTGTTTGTAATCAAGATATTAATGGTTTTTTGATCCTCGAATGTCGGGCAAGAGTCTGTAATTTCAATATTTGTTATCAATGTCATTTTCGATATTTGTTACCGATACCATTTTAAGAAGAAATGAATCCTCAATCATGTAATACGATTAGGAACTAAGGAAGGGTCATGTCATTTTTTCCATAAATTATTTCTATATGTGGACTTTTTTTTCTTCAGTGTCTTAAATTCAAGCGATCTTTGCACATAGAATTACATTTTCAATTCGTATGCCTTCTTCAAGTGTGACATAAATGATCTTGGCTTGTTTCTTATTAGAATGAAAAAACCACATATCCCATAAGCAGATAAATGGTTGTCTTGATGCTGATGCTGCAAAAATAATGAGTTTCTAATAAATATCAAGCTTTAACAACCTGATAATATATTCAAATTACTGAAGAATTCTTATTTAAATTATGTAAATAACCTAATGCCTATTAATTCAAACAATATGTTTTTTGTAAGAATTGGGGTATAAAAAAGGCTTGGAAATTCTGAGAATTGTGGTTTTCACTTTCAGATTAAAGTATTTGGGTGGTACTCCCAATCTTTAATCGGATAAGACTCAGAATTGAGAAATCAGAAGAGAGAATGTTCAAGATGTTGTGAAGAAGAAGAGTACCAACAACAGATTTCGGATATGATCATATAACCAGAAAAACTTCCTGTCTTAAAACTGCCACATGACAGTTTTATGTCCTAAATCTGTCAAAACGTCATAAACTAACTTAAATTCGGGTCTAGAATATGGATCACAAAACCGGGTACATTTACCAAAAATCCGGATTTCTGATGCATTTTTAATATAGTAACATAACATATATAAAAAATTTCAGCTCGACCCCAGCCAGGGGCTCTGCCCCTTGGACCCCGCTCTCAGGGGCGCTGCCCCCGGACCCCCGTCGGTTCAGGGACTCCGCCCCTAAATATCAGTATACTTTCAACAAAGACAAAATTAAACAAATGTGCACTCTGCACCATACCGATTTGTTCAATAATTTTCAAAGTGACATTGATCAACAAATTAACCCCATTACACCTAAATAACATTAGTGATATAAAATCACCAACATTTTTCATAAAAACTAATCAACCGAGTGTCTAAAGTCCATGTTTTTCTGCAATGCTTTCATATTGACCTGAAATCCTAAAGCCTTTTGCATACCAATGCTAAGTAAGAAATCATTGGAATTTGAATACATACACTAGTCGGCCATTTATACATTCTCAAAACTTATAAAATACCATAACCTTCTCATTGATGAAGCTAAGGAATATGAGTTTATATAATGGAAATTGATTACCATGACTTGCTAGATTTCAGTTACATAATGTGAGGAATCACATTCAATCTTATGTCGATGACATTAGAATTAGTTATACACAAGGTTGGTGATACCACACAGTTTTGCTAGGTCTCTGTGATCTTTTTGTTAAAGTTGTAAACATTAATTATTAACGCAAAACAATGAAAATCATTGAAAAAACCATGACCGAAGCTTTTTTCATACATAAAACTCCCCATAAACGGATTAAATGAGTGGTACAAAGTCATATGATTGTGTTGTATGTCAGTATGTGGATATGAACTTAACTAAAGAAAATCAAAGAGGAATAAGCATTTCATCAAGCAGCTGGTAGGCAAAAGGTGAAAGTACACATCCACTAATTGAAAAGAAAGCGACCTCTGTTTTCTAGATAATGATTAAACACAAAAATTTACATAAACAAATCGGATTTTGTAGAAAAACCATATGGGGGGTTTCTTTATTCTAGCCCAAATTGATACCAGTATTGTCAGGTTAGATTTTTAATGGATTTTGCTTACCAAGTTTCCAATTTACAATATAATAGCATATCCTGATTTCTTCTTTCATAGATGCTTTGAAAGCATAGTAATATCTCCTAAAATCTAATTAAATGACCATATTCAAATTTTCATTTAAGTTTCTACTGCAACCAAGATGTGATACAACAAAAAAACACATCATGATCAATTTTGCATCCAATGCAATACATTACTAATATGTGTAATCAAACAAACCAAATCCAAATAATAAAACATATATAAATTATTAAATTATAAGTAGAGTCAGAAAAAATCGAACATTGTGAAATTAAAGATACTTGAGGAAAATATTAGAATACGTACATATTGAATCTACGAGGAACTTGAGGTTACCTTTCCTCAAATCTGGTGGCTTAAATTACCTCTGGAAAAAACAACGATCCCCCAATCATGATTATACAGCTTAATAATCATCATTCATGTGTTATGAGTAAATGTAAAATTACCTCAAACTTCCTCCCTTTTTTCATTATCTCCGTATATCACAAAATTTCAACAACATTCTTATAACCACCACATGCCTGAATCTTATCCACCTGTCACCATTCCATTATCATTAATTAGTTATCCAATCCAAAATACAATACTAAAATATGCACCCAAACCAAATTGTTTTGTCATCTCTGATAAACATAGCCAATAAATATGTAATCTCTGTTTCTGAAAAATAATATACTTATAAAAAAGTTAGCTCGTAACTATATAAATCATCATTTAAAAGTGTCGTTGATAATCTCTTAGTTAAACCATATTGAGATGGTCTCTGAAACGGTTAGCGGTTAGTGTATACTTTTAAAAAAGCTATTGTATATCACTAAAAAGTCAAAAGCATCCGAAAGGTTTAAGCCCTACCTTATATATATATTAACATTAAAAGCTTAAATTTAATCAAACAAAACCCAATACATGTAGTTTCTCTCCCACTTGTAATCGTGGAAGCTCTTATGACATATGTTTATCCTAACATTTTTGTTACTCCTGCCACTTTCTCTCCCACTTGTAATAGACAACTAAAAATACTTTTGTAGATGAGATTAATGATACTTTGATATACAAGTTGCCCGGAGAAGATATTGATCAATATTTTGGTCATGATGAGACTATTGATCCAAATGATCAGGCCTGGTATGAGGATTTACTTCATTCCTTAACACCAAATGGTATGCCACCTCATAAACTTGTTTTTAAGTATAATGATCCTATTATTTTGTTGAGGAACATGAACCCGTTTGAAGGATTATGTAATGGTACTAGACTTTTCTGTAAAGATTTTCAAAGGAATGTTATACGTAAGTGCAGAGATAAGCTATGGAGAATTTGCTGGAAAAGAGGTTTTTCTTTTATTCATGTACCCATTTAATATTCTTTTTACCACAGGTAGCTGTTAATCTCTGCAACTAAAACACACGATGCATGGTATTTCATTGCTTTTCAATGAAAAAGGTCAGCTACCTTTTATCAATCGATTTGAATGTAAAATAATTTTTTCTAAACATCTTCGCTGTTCGTATTCACATTGGAGGACATCATTAATCTTTACTCTATTTCTCAGTTCAGTTTTATTAAACATCTTTACATAGTATCTTTTAGGATCTCCCTCGGTTTCATGTTTTACAAACACAATTAACCTCAATGAAATCAATTTGAACATGACAGTCTTTCTTGCTTTGCATGTCAATATGTATGTGTTTACTTTCTTACGTACAGGCTGTAACCTATTCACACAATATCGAAACCACACCCCTCTGGAACAGTATTCAATCAGGAAGTGACAAAATTAACTTCACCAACAAGATGGAATCTAAACATTAGATCGGGAGATTAGGTAGAATATATCATATATTTAAGTATGTAAAGCTTCTAATGTATGCCATTTGGGTATATGTTTTACTTACTAATCTTTCTTAAGTTTAATGTAATTGTTTTGTAGAACGAATCAACCTCATTCTGTGCTTACGGTTGAATGTCATACTTCTCATGCTTTGGTGAGATGGAAACTTAAAATACGTTGTTTCTTATGGTGGGGTTAATTTTGGTTTGTCATTTCCTGGTCTTTCAACAGTTTCCAACATGAAAGACCCAACAAGCCAATTAAAAGTATTGCTAATCGACTTTTTTTTAAGTGTCACGTGCTAATTTTGTTATGCTACTCATTCTCATAAAAGTTTTTCATTTATTTAACAGGAAACAGAGGAAATAATTGCTATAAAGATAAATCAAGCGTACTCAATTTGTTAGTATTGATCTAACTCCATAATTACAACAGCTCATTGCAACTTTTACAAAATGGTTTTCTTTTAATTAATCTAATGTTCAATAAATAAGTTACTTATAAATTCTTTAATTACTATAGACAAACTTTTAATATGCACAGCTGAATTTTCTATTGATATTAAGATTTAGTTGTTTCATTTAAAATAATATCAGATTTTGTTTAATTAGCTATAATCTTTCTTACAAGTGACTATGACACGTTTTCATATATAATTATAACAATTTAGTTTCATTTCCTTACCCATAATACCATTTTACTCTCATTTACTTGCCAAAAAATTATACCATTCACCTTTATTTTTTCCTCGTGAAGATAATCTACTTTCACATTTTAGTTAATCAAACTATCCGGCC